CACACACACACACACACACACACACACACACACTCACACTCACACTCACACTCACACTCACACTCAAATCTTGCTGACCCCAAACTTTTGAACATTAATGTATATTTATGGCCTTTTGCCACTTTAACTTGATTTGGAAATGTTGCTGGATTCAAACTCACGATACTGCATGTGCACCACAGCTCAATATGCACTAAACATTAGATAACAGCCCCAGTAAAGCTATATATCCAATGGCATAGACATTATGAATGCATGTTCAGTATGTACTGTACAATGTGACTGCACACTTGTAATGTGTTTGACAAGCATTTGCATCTGCATTTCAGTACCTTTATAGAACCTAAGTGATTCAAGAGCTTGACAGATTCACATAGAGAATGTGTGTTTGCACCCCTCAACCTCTCATTACGGCAAACGTTTATCCTCTAAACAGCATAAGGGAAGCTCCAGCAGAGATCAGGGCGGCAAGCAGAGGGAGATTCCTTTTGTGGGTGCCATTATGCTTTTAAACAAACCTGTCCACTCTCAACCCGTGAAGAATGAGATGAGAAGAGCGCGTGATGAGCACTGGTGTCCTCCCGTAGCCCTTTTGGCCCGCGATAGCACCCGGCAGCCAGTTTGAGCAAAATGGAGGCCGACAACAATTAATTTAAGCCCATTACCGTGCAAGCAGGGTGTGCTAAGGTTCGCTGACCTTTCAGCATTTTTGTTTGTAAACAAACAAAGGGAAAACAGTAGAAGTCAATACAAGGAGCAGAGGCAGCATGCAGGGATGCAATGTTGCGTTTACTTGAAGGAACTGAGGGAGGATGTGGAGGTGTGAAGGGAGCAGTTAAGTTTGATTTACCTGGCCCAGTGAAGAGGACTGTGTAGGTCAGGTTTCCGTTGGGTTTAGCTGGGGCCTCCCACTTGGCTCGCACTGAATGTGGAGTCTCACTGAGGACATCCAGGGTCATGTGACCAGCGGGAGGCATCTCTAAAGTCCTGCCTTCCACCTGACAACAGAAAGAAAGATAATGTCCGCTTAAAACTAGAAGTAAGCATTTAGTTCTACTTAAAGTCAACATGAAAGGATTCAAGGATTTTTCAAGTATTTCGATAATTTGTATTGTCATTCCAAAACATGGCACATGAGATGGAACAAAATTAAGCACTGAGGTCCGGTTAAACCCACTCACACATAAATACACATGCGATAACCAGTCATACACACACATATAAACACTAGAACCTGAAATTTAGCAGCATAACAATATAAAACAATATAAATTACGAACATGGCAAATTTAGTACAAGTATTATATCTATGAAATGTATTATTATAAAGTGACCCTATTTACTTTCTATTTATCAGTGCATGTTAGTCCAAAAATAGTTTGTCTTTGTTCAATCAAATTTTAATAATTGGATCTCTCTATGAAATAATTTTGCTTTTCTACTTACATTACAGTAGGCCATGCAAAACAAAACAAAACAAAAAAGAACAGAACAAAAAACTGTAGCAAAATTGGTTTTGTTAAATATTGCAATTTATGTTAAAAATTACATTACTGTAGTAGAATAAACTGTTCAAAGGTTTGGGGTCAGTAACATTTTTTGCTGTTGTTGTTTTAAATTAAATTAATTTTATTCAGCAAAGATACATTAAATTGATTAAAAATGACAGCAAAGACTTTCACATTGTTATAAAAATAGTAAATAATTTTACTTTCTATTTATCAAAGAATCCTGAAAAAATAGAAAAAGGTTATTTTAAATTGTAATATTTTACGATTGTGACCATATAATACTGTTTTACTATACATTTGATCTAAATGCAGCCTTAATGCACATTTAAAAAAATCTTGACTCAACTTTTAAATGGTATTGTAGGTTGTAAGTCACAATTCACATTGTCTGAACAGAAATTTCTTAAACTCACTTAAAATCCATAATTTGAGACTGCACGAAGTCTCACTGCACATTATTTTAATAAAAAATAAAAAAACTCACAGGAGTTAAAAATAAATAAATAAAAATTATCAGCCTGCACTATTTTCCCCACCATCTGTCCACTAAATGATCAGATACTTCGTAGCCAGACACCACAGCCACTCAACCTCTCGCTGCTTGCTCCAACTTTTGCTGTGTCTGCAGAACTGGCCATTTGACTAAATATTGCACACATATTGGAAAAATGCCCAAATATGGCCCATCAAAGCAGTAACCAGCCCAGAGTGGCATTTATACCAAATGTCAAGCGTGAGCAGAAGGTGCTTTATTGAACAGAGTGAATCGATCACCTTTATGATGTTGAGCTGCCATCTGACACGCAGAGGAGGCATTAACATAATGTAAATGTGGTGGACTCTCACCAGGGGCCCCAGAGCGCAGCCCTGAGCCGTGCAGGCCTGCACACGGAAGCTGTGGAGGCTCCATGGGGACAGATCACCGACCTTGAACCCCATAAGAGACGAATTCTGCACCAGCGTGCCATCCATCCAAAGACCATAGCTGCTAATCACACCTGTGTGGAGGAAATTAATACACATTTAGCATATGGGCAAGAGCTATGTGATAGCGTACGTGGAAATACAGGTTGTGCTTGACGTGTAAACCTCTCGTATATTCAAGAATGCAATAGATGTCCCTACAGTACCAAAATAATTGTTGACTACAGTCAACATTTCAAACATACATCGTCTTTAAGGACATGACCTAAACATCAACCAAAATAAGATAAAAAGAAATTCATTAATGCCTGAAAATCAACAAGAACATGCAGCATTCACTGTACTTCTGCTATGAAGGCTAAAATTGCCCCTCCATCACGAACCCTTTTTCCAATACACATTTTTATACCCAAACACTGTTTGCTCCACTGATTTCCTCACATGCCCTGATGTAAACTGGCCATTTTGTTTAAAGCCCTCTGTTAAAGCCGACCATTAGGGAAAGAGTGCTGTAAAACATGTAAACACAACCGTATACTGCTCCTGCTCTCTTTATAGCTGCTCACGGGACACACCCCTCAAGATGGACCGGTCAGTTAAAAGGTTCAAGAAGGACAACTGAGCTTGGCCCAATGCACAGAGAAATAATATGAACAATTATACTGAGCTTTAACAAACTCATATATAAAAATAAATACTTAATGTTTGTGCATTTTTATTGTGCACTTATTTAAAATTTAATTTGTAACAGTTCTATAATAATACACTGAGTAGGTCTTGAGACGCAAAATACATTAAATAATAAAAGCTATGTATTTTCTATAATCAATGCAAAGGGAGATTTCATACATATTTTTCAGATTGTGTATTTATCGCACATTATCTCTGTTTTAAAAAAAATAAGATGGCATTAAAATGTTTATTTTAACATTTAGCATTTAACATTTACACAAGATCAATTTTTTATTTTAAATAATTATTTTTTAATTCAGTATTTGTAAATGTGGAAAACTTTAACCATTCCTCAAAATAAACAATATTTAAAAAAGTGTTAATTTAAATAAATAATTTAACTACATAATTTGTAGTGTTTAATCAATTGTGTGCTATTTAATCATGTTTCATATACTGTATATATAATCATGTAAAATATAATATATCATATAGCTTTGTAAAATAATATATATAATATACTGTTTATTACAATATTTATCATTTATTGTACAATTTATTTGGACTCAATTTGACTAAAATTATAGTTTATATCCACACAAAGTTATAGTTTATATCTGCACAAGATTAAAAGGTAGAATTAATAATTTTCACCACACAATTCCTGAAAGTTTATATATCATATTAGAATATATCACACCATATTAGAGGTCCTTTAACTGTCTTAACCCACCCCTTCACCTCAAAAATCTGCAGAATATTGTAATGAATTATTTAATAGATTAAATGAATAAAAAAATGTATGTCC